TGCAGGGTTCAAATTTAGGACCACTACTGTTCCTAATTTACATTAATGATATTGACACCGATACATATAGTAAACTGGTTAAATTTGCAGACGACACCAAGGTAGGTGGTGTAGCAGATACTAAACTAGCAGCACAGAGGCTACAACAGGATCTTGATTTAATTAGCGACTGGGCTGATACCTGGCAGATGAAATTTAACATAGATAAATGTAAGGTAATCCATGCAGGGAGCAGAAATATAAAGTACAGATTTTATGGGTTCCACAGAAATAAAGGTAGCTGATTACAAGAAAGACATATTGGAAATTAGTGGGAGAACATTTTAAAATGAATTTGAGGAAGCACTTATTTACACAGCGTGTAGTTGGAGTATGGAATAGTCTTCCTGTTAGTGTAGCGCAAGCTAAAACCCTGGGTTCCTTTAAATCAGAGCTAGATAAGATTTTAACAACTCTGAGCTATTAGTTAAGTTCTCCCCAAACGAGCTTGATGGGCCGAATGGCCTCCTCTCTCTTGTAAATTTCTTATATTCTTAAGGTTCTGTGTCTGTCTTTCTCCTAAGTCACAGGGTTACTTCAAGATAAATATAAGCAATTTATCCCAATTCCCAAAATCACTGCACCAAATCCAAGAAAACAACCAGAAATTCGTCACTAGAATCTATTTCACATGCTTCCAACCATGTGGGTGTTTGCTTGGACACAGTAGGGATATTGGTATCCGATTTTCTGACAAAGAAAGAATGCCATGCAATCTATTATCATCACAGATAATACATAGAGAAATGGACATGGGATCTGCAAGGACACAAAATATAACATAAAACCGAACAATTATGATAAACAACACAAAAGCAACCTGACACAAACAGACACAGCCCAGTTGCGTTGTTGGGAATTTCATATTTTCAAGTTACCCCTGTGAATTTCTGGCACCTCTGTAGCTGTGCTTCTCTTAGGTGGAAATCTAAGGAGCAGAAGTCAGCCGCCTCACAGGACCCACACAAAGGATCTGACCCGAAACAAATGCAGGGTGTGGAAATACAGCAAAACACGATTTATTCAAATTCACCTGGACAACAGGACACGACAGCTGCCAAAATTGTATCATACATACAGTATAGATATGGGCATCACTGCCATTAAATCTGAGGGGGATGTGTCCCCCTCACATTTAAGAATTATTCATTTACCCCCCCCCGCACATTTAACATAAAATATTAGTTTTATGCTAGTGTGTCCCCCCCCACATTCAAAATGCTTCTGACACCCCTGCATATGGAGTTGTGATGTTCAAGCCCGGCCCTCAGCACATCTGCGGGTCCTTGAGCAAGGCCCTTAACCCCCAGCTCCCTGGGTGCTGCTATGGGTGGCTGCCCTTCGCACCCAGCCTGCTCTCACCTGCGGAAAGCAAGTTGGGGGAGGCATAAAGAGAATTTCCCCATCGGGATCGACAAAAGTATCAATTATTATTAATACACTAAAATCATGTTGCATATCTGGGTAGGATACTCATTAGTTTAAATCACCAGAACTGCAACTGGAACTGTCCTCATAAAGAACAAACATAAAAAGGAACATGTAAAAATAGCAACCATTACAGTACCAGGACCTAGAGTCATAGTCAAAGCATACAGACAGAAAACTTTATTAATCGCTAAGTGATCATTAAGGGTGCTCATTTCCTAATCAGCATTCTGTAAGACAGCAGTTTAGAGCTATGAAGCTGTACAAATTACTGACCAAAAATCGAAATCCAATTAATGCAAGTAATAAGGTAACACAATTAGGAAATCAGTGTAATGAGCAAGGTTCACTCTTGGGTACTTTTGCACGAGGGAAATGATTTAGATTATCCCACCATCAGAATTATTTATTTGCTATCACTTCGGCCCTCACACTTCTGAGCTGCCTGTGGACTAATCCCACATTGCTTATTGATTTCAAAACTGCAACAGCTTCAAACGGAGTTAGTTTGTCCGCAACAATTGATGGCTGACGAGTGTACCACACGTTTCAATGGAGCCGCAAACCCCTGTGTGGTCCCAGGGAGTGCAAAAAATGAGATAAAACAAGGAAGGTAGCTGGGAATCATCCACATGTTCCATTCTTCCTCTGTACTGTAGTTCCAATTCAAGCTCTCCCCTTGGGGGCTGGCTCTATATAGCCCAAGAACATGGTGTTAGGTGCCTGCATTTGTTACACAATGACTGTCTGTTAGCACAATTGCAATTTAAATACTCATTACAATGTTTCTTCCTGTCTGGTCTTTGACCTGCAAATTCATTAAAATCAAAGGATTCACCACTTTATGCTTTTGTTCCTCATCGAAAACTAATTGTTAAGAAATGTAATTTTAGGCTTCAAGCTTCCAGATCCTTTCTTTCGCCACACAAGCAGGGGGGTGATATTTGGATTTGGTCCAGAATGGTGCAATAGCAGGAGACAGAGAGAAGACAATGAGCGGAAAACGCAGACAATGCATCCACAACTCATATTACAGCCACAACTGCAAGTGTGCAAGTGTGTCATGTGCAGCAGTATATGAAAGGAGAACAGTGAGTCTTAGCATTTCAGAGCTGTGATCCGGGGGGGTGGGGGGGGGATCCTAAAGCATGCGCTTATGTTTTGGAGGCAGAATCGGGGGTGGGGGGACCTCCTGTCATCCTGTTCACCACAGTTATAAAATACATTTCAGACTAACCTGCAAGGTATGTCACTAAGAGGCAAAACAAAGTGCCACCAACAAATTATATGGTCAGATTTCAGTCCTATAAAGTGTCGTTGTGTATATTTCTAAGGTTCATTTCACAACAGGACAATAAGTGTCCCCACAAAGCAGTGCAGTGAAAACTCAGATCCACTTGAGATATAAAGAAAGAGATCATGAAAAAGGAAGCTTCTGGCAGGTTCCAAAGGTCTCTGCCGCCTCATTTCACTTGCTCATCCGTCTACTCCTTCACCGGAAGGGCGAATCTGATTCTGACAGAATCTCCAAGCTGTATCCTGGCAAACAGATCTCAAATGGGGCCCACTGTCCCACTGAAATCACCATGAATGCAGAATACCAAGCACCTGCAGTTTGGGGTTTTAACAAGCATAGCCTGTGGGTTTAACACATTGCAGTGGCTGCACGAACAGATATACAGAAGATTAATTAGACTGACATAAATATTCGTACATTTTTTTAAGCACACTAAAACCAACAGAAAAATGCAAATTCCAAACACAGACTCCAAATCCTAAAATAAAATTTATTGAAAAATGGTTTCTTGCCAAGGAATAACAAATTGAGTCTGGCTTTATCAAAAGGACTCCCCACACAGAGCAGCAGGCTTGTTACAACAACGATGCCTTTGGTAAAATTAGTCCTTGATATTATTAGCACACCCTTAAACTGAAGATGGAAATTAGCAATACACCTCATGCTGGGAATTAGTTTAACGAAAATCTGGGACTGAAGTTTGGAACCAGCATGCTACTTATGATAATTTATCAATGAGCTTATAAAAGTAGATCTGATTTTAGATTATACACTGCACTGTAAGACAATGCACATAGTCATGGAGATATTTTTGTTCTTTAGAGAAGACACTCAAGTACATTGATTAAAAAAGAAAAATTTTAATTTCTAATCACCTGTTTCATGTTTAAAAGTGAAGTTAACGCACAAAAGCAAACTCCAGGCCCATTTCAAGATGAAGACCTCCTGGGCCTGCTTTGAGGAACTCTGCTTTCGCCATTTGATAGGAATCACCTACAGTAAGGCACAAAGTCTCACTTACAAAGTATGTACACATGCAGTCAAAATATTGTCATAAGTGATTTTTTTTTAACCAGTCCACCACCCAAGTCTACAATGTATCAGGACTAACAATCGGTGCTATCCAGATATGTAGGTCTGACTTATATTTGCACAAATCAAAAACACAGCGCTTGCACAGTAATCTACACAACCAAGTCTTATCTGATAGCATTCCTAACCCAGTGTTAGGAGAAAAAAAGCTTGCTTGAAAATCCACAAGCTTTGTGTAACTGGCAAAAATCCTTGTAAATAGCTTCTCATGAGGAAAGCACACCGCAGTAAATGTTGTTGCTGCTGAAGTCAGATGTGTCCCTATGAAGCTTCAGTTTAATGCAGAACGTTTATAATAAGAGGAGTGAACACGCCTCTCCAGGATCAGCAGTCAGATTCAGATCTACAGCTGCCACATCATACCTGACCATACTTTCAAGTGAATGTTTCTGGTGCCAACAACACAACAGATTAGTTGCTAAAGTCTGGAGCACCATCTTACCTCAGCTGGCACCACACCAAGTCACGCTTTGTCTTTGGTGAGGCACCCTACTGTGTTATTACAGCCAGAACTCTGAGTGCAAATTTGCAAGACACTTCAAGGTACTGCAGTACTAATAGTGCACATCTAACCTGAAATCAAGCCTTGTTCCTCAACCCTGGTGACAGTTTTACTCGTTAAATCCGACACAGCCCTCGACCATAATTACTGGCAGCACTGCCGGTATTATTTACATTGATTAATTTCTAACAAACAAAAAAACTCCCAGGATTACAGGGAGGAAAACAATACATTACATTCCATGTCAGCATCCCCCTGGAAGCTATGGAAACAGGCAACAACTGCCACTTCAAAGAAATGCTTTTCACAGACTCTCCAGTGAGTTAAACTCTACCCAGCCAAAACAATTAGTCACGAAAGTCTTCCCATATTTGATAGGGCAAAAAAACAGTGGCATATGAATACAAAATGCACAGGGTTACAGAATCCTGATGGTCAAGTTTCCTGAATGGCCAAATGGCTTTGTTATCTCAGTCAAAGACGATAAAAAAAGGACAATTTTGGCTGACAATGTGCTTTTCATCCTTCCAGGGTGCTCAGCGGTGTTGAATTAATGCGACGACACAGCCTCTTTCTTCACCCTATCCAATGTCAGATGCTTACAGGACCTCCAACGCATTTCTCTCCATGTCAGGTTCTTTTGATTCCCTCACACTGAGAAATGCAACCTCCCAGATGCACACGTCTGTCAGATGGACCATGAAATAAGTGAATGATAAGACCACCCCACAAGCTGCAAACCCAGTTGCTGCACAGCCTGCTGCGTTAATCTCAGCACAACACACTGTAGCCTAGGGCATTTAACAAATGTGTTTTGTTTGAATATGAAATGTAGCATGGCAGCTCCCGTGCATGGAGTACCCCATCCTTGTGCCCTATGCTGTGTGGAATAGGCTCCAAGCCCCACAAGACCCTAACGAGGCTAAGAAGTCAGAAGACGAAAGGCTGAACTATATTAACAAGATCCTATAATGAGTATCATTTCATTTAGACAGAATTAAATAATCAGCCGAAAACATTAACTTGAAAAAATGGTGCTCAATCCACAAAAATGCTTATTAAATTAAAAGTTACTGCAGCACGCAGACATCATTCTCAGCATAAACAAAGCCGGCCAGGAATACTTCATTACACATCACCTGCCATCTGACAACTCTGCCCTAGAGGAAAGGGGGAAAAAAAGGTAATCAACAGGTGAGAGGCGCACCAGCACCAGCACGAGTACCATGGCAACTGTAACTATGGCATCTCACAATAACTGCAAACAAAAACTTGTACTTCCTTACGGAATTACAGATAATTTGGAGATTGACTCATTTATTCATTTAATTAAGAAAACTTGTTCCAAACTGTGAAATATTATTAGGTTTTGACTGGTTGTAAATCAAATGAGATATTTTATTTAAAGTGGTAGGTGTCCATTCATAAACCCATTTTCTATACCTGCCAATTGATCCAGAGCCAATCCCTGAAGGGATATTTGCAGAAAGTCTGGCTGTTTAAAACACAAGTCAGATAAGGCTGTAAAAAGCCAACATGATAGTGGTTGTTGCCCCTACTGTACACTAATGTTATGAAGCCAGGTAGAAGATGACTTACAGTCAAAGCTCACACACAGCAACCATGCTAACCTGTAAATTACAAGCATCGAGCACAAATCTGTTTCTAAAGACTCTGGCTTTGGAAACTGGATCAGTATGTATAGTTGTCACCCCATGCATAGTTACCGATTATCACTAACAAATTAGAGCACAATTCATTCAACACGTGCTATATAGCTCATACATGACTACTTTTCTTAGTGTCAAAACAAAATCAACTTTTTTTTCCCTCAGTTTCTGAAAACGAACCTCCATTATATTGACAGTCTGATCACAAGTGTTGTAAATAAAAAACCTATTCATTCGCTCCCTCTTCCACATCCTGCCAAAGAACCCTGGTACCGAGATGGTAAATCTTTAACGGAAGGTACACAGAGATATTACGGCCTTGTTTGGAACATGATAATGTGTGTGTGTGTGTGTGTGTGTGTGTCATTGGCCTAATAATACAAAAAAAATTATAATAACACAAATTAAGAATCGTAATTAGATAGCCTAGCCTACTCTTTGAAGGCTTTCTTAGAGGTACACATCTTTGTTCCATCCCTAGAAGTCACGTGACACCAGCATGAGCAGGGCTGAAACGGCCAAAACGGGGAAAGGTAATTAGAACAAGTCTTGTTTTCCGGTTCTGAGCCAGAAGGGAAGGACATGGAAGCCGTGTGAAGGGATATGAGATTGCGTAGTTAATGCTGTCAGCCTGTCACCTCGGCAGTCATGCAGTTCCCTTACCGGAGGTCAGCGTTCATTAGGGCACCGATATGATTATTCCCAGAGGAAGACTTTCATGAGCCCTTCTTACAAACTGCACCATCTGCAGCCATGTTAGTAATTAAATCCAGGCAAATAAGTGTTACAAGGCAGAAGGGACCTATTGCAGTCTAAGCTGATGACAGAACAGAAATCAGAGACTTTCACTGCTAAATTTTAGTAAGTCAGTCTGTAGGGAGGGGGGGGGAACACTGGCGTTTTTTGGCTGATGCCCCGTTTCCATAACCAACGTAAAAACAATATAAAACTTCATTACATAATATCTAGAAACTCATCTCACCCCAGAGTTTGAAAAACCACTGGACCTGTTCACCTGAAGTTTGCAAAAAGAACCACGGAATATGTTTAGACGACAGACGGCTGTGTTTACAAGGTGAGGGCTGCAGTCGTCTGCTTTCAACCTTCCTTTCGCTGCTACTCAGCAGTGCTGCTTCAATATTGGGGCAAACTGTCTCAAAATTTAATCAGTTCCAGCTTGTCGCCCACATAACGCCTCTGCAAAATTTGAAAAAGATCTGTCAAATGGTTGAGTTGCCTTAACAAGCAAAGCATGTGTAGTGGCGATGACAACAGCGGTCTGGATCCACAGCTAGCTATTCAATAATACAATACAATAAAGCAGAATCTGTTACTAGCAAAAATCTAATCATAACCCCTTAGCCATTTAATAGAAGCAACCACGACGTTTTACTTTATAAACAGAAAGATGGATGGTAACAAACTTGGGCTTCACTGGGCTTCCGGCTACATGCTTGTGCCATTACTGTCTCATGTACCCATTATTCTACTTGTTTTTTACTGTAGCTTCAAGTATTAAATGTCTCCTCAGCACAGCCTGCCTGTCCATCTTTCTGTTTAATCATTTTTTCTACTAGTGTCAAAAATACCATGCAGAGTACAGAGGCCTAAACATCCTTGTTATATTCAAAGGTGTCACGCATGAAAATGTGTTATCAGACAGTAAGGTGGCATTCGGCAAATTAAAGACCTTTGCTGCAAGACGCTCCAATTGCAGTTATTCGACAGTCCATACAACGAAAGCTTATTCACAGGAATCCGTACATCAGAGTTCACAAAATGAGAACAAATGCATGAGAATGACAGAGCTGATATTTGAAGTTTTGAGTTCTGATCCCCGCTGAGGACAATGGAATTCCACTAAATCCCCCATCACTGCACGCTGTACGCTGCCTGACCCTGTGCTCAGACACTCAAGCTTGCTCTCACCTGCCTGTGCGTGGAGAGCAAGATGGTGTAGGCAGAAATATCCCCAAAGGGAGGAATAAAGAATGACTATTCTGTATTATTCAAGCAAGCTTCACAATTTTATGTTTATGTATGATATGATATATGATTGCACATGTATTTTATATAAATGACCTTAGGCCAAGATTTTCAGCATATCCACATTTTTCCCCATCAGTTACATTTTATCTTTGGCAAGTAAATTCACAGAAAAACCAACTCAAACTGCACAGCAAAGGCTGCATATCTGCCAACCACATCTGACCCATACATTGATCTGCAAGCTGCGCATATATAACTGATGCATAACTGCTGAGACCTTGTCAAAAAAAAACTTCATTATACACAGTAATGAAACATTCTAATGTTAAGTAAATACATAACTGAAATACAACTGAAATATTCCAAGGCAGATCTGAATTTTCGTATTTCTAACATTTTGGCTCTAGAGGTTGGTATAACTTGACTGGCATCATTTATGGATTTGGTTCATTGAAAGCCTCCCTGTATTATCTTCATAGACCACCATGTTTAAAACCCCTACTGAATGCTAGATCTCAGATAACATAAAATAAAAAGGAAACCAGGATGTCATTTCACAGAAAATGCTGTCAGCACACTGTGATGTTTCTCCGATGGAAACCTTACCTTGAAATTCAGCAACATTCCCAGAAATTAAAGTCTTCAGGCTGGAGCTGGTCATCTGGAGTAAATTCTGAACATTCTTTTGGGCTGCCGTCTGGTACCGCACCTCCATGTTTTTGGTACAGCATGTTAGACTGAGGGAGTCACACACTTGAAGATCACTCCCTTGGGGAACACAGAGGGAATTCCATTCAAAAAAATGCATAAATGTGATGCACAATGAGTAATTCACCATTTTGGGTATTTAATATTTTATTGGTAATCAAATGACAAATTTCCAACAACACATTCAATAGACTATTTCATTACAAACCCATGAAAAGGGTACTTGAAAAAACTCTTGATTATCAATTTGCTGTACAAAACCAGCAACAAGTAGACACGCACGTAGTCATATCTCTTATCCTACAATTTTGCCATTTACAGGTTTAAACAAGCAAAAATATGAAGTGTCTGAGGTAATCAGCAGCCATCACTTAACCAAGTGATAAGGATTTCTCACTCTAAGCTGCTTATGACAACAATCAGTGAAGATAGGGGCAAAGCCATGAAAAAACAAGCATGTCAAGACATGCCGGGACAAATGGTCAGGTGGCCAAAGACACTTCTGTTGTGACATATGACGATTCCCGGCCGCACTTTGAGGCCAAAGGGCTGGGCAGATTGCCAGCTCTCCTCACCCTTTAACAATTTCATTGAAATAACTGTCTGGATTGTAGCTACTCTAATCTGAGGGCTTCACAAAATACGCCAATTAAAATACTCTGGCCATGTTGCAGAAGCAGTGGGCTTTCTAGGGAAAAAATTAAGTTACTTAATAACTTTAGTAAAATGTTAATGTATTCAGCTTTAGAAAGGCAACCAGCATCTGGTTAGGAAGATGATATTCTGCGATTATCTGATTTAATAAACAATTAATATAGTTCCACAAATTTCATAAAACCACCATTTGGATTGTAGTCAAAGTTAACACTGGGAAAAGATTCTGAACAAACCATTGTGACTTTTCCAACTTATGACCTTCATGAAAATCATCCTTATAAGTTAGACAGGGCATTTCGAAAGATATGAAGTTCAAGAAAAGCGATAAAGCAGATGTGAAATATGCAAACTCACATCCCTGTCTGACCTGCAGCTGGACTAAATCAGGGTACAAAAGACACCTTAGGACCTAAGATTTATGTAACTGACCGTTGTTTGTTTTCTGCTTTAAAGAATACTGAACTCGTTTATAGCCATTGAGATAAAGGAATTTTTAAAAAATGAATCGTGCGTCTTAAACAAATACTCGAACTAGGGATGTAACGATTCTCCAGATCCACTGTTTGGCTCAGACCCCGATTCTTCAGCCACAGGTAAGCCTCGGATTTTTGCATATTTCACTTCAAACTCTATGGCGAATTGGAACTTCAAGATATCTAATACCAAAACACCCAAAAAGTGGGTGACAAGGACCGAACCAGGCTGATATATTGAGCAGGCTGATTTGCGAAATGTGGTCTGTCAGTCATACGCAGTGGCAGATTTGGGTATGGGCGACATGGGCAGCGAACCGAAAAACGGTACATCTACGCCGTGCGGCAGCGGCTTGGGGATATCGCGGTTACGTAACGGGAGATCGTGAACGTTTGTGTTTCGGTTTCGGTCTCCGGTTCAGAACCGTAACACCTTTATCTTGAACCGAGTATTTAAACTGAAACAATTTGAAACAGTTGCAACGTCAGCTAGGCATCTGGCGTGACACTCAACTTTCAACAGCACACAAGGTTGTCAAAGACCTAACCCTCTGGAAGTGTTAAAACGATAAGGGAGAAGTTAATTCAGTTTTAATAAGAAAAGCATCACCTTCGGCTTGTGTCGGCGAGAGGTAGATTACACTCAGCCAGCGTTACTTACCGATGGCTTTTAAAGAACATTAAGCGAGTCACACGGAAGCTTCCACATAATTATCACAACTGAAATATTCCAAGGCAAATATGCAAACATACTAACGAATAAAGCTCAGGCGATTGCAGTTTGTTTCACCAAAAAGATGCCGTTCAACCGATTCAAGGATGCCAGGCAACTTTTTCGTCTAAATTTAATTTAATTAACAAATATATTTATCATAAGGTAAACCTGTAGCTCTTTCAGCGCGATACGCCTGACAAATGTGAAAAACGGCTCCTGTTAGATGAAAAATGCTTAGTCTTTAACAGACGGATCAATCCACGTGATTAGTCCGGAAAACGTTTATTATTAATAATGTTTCGACACTTACCCGTCCTAGGGGTTTCAGGCACTGTTTTTATCGGTCCAATTTCATTTAAGTGGAACAGCTTCTGAACTTCACTGCAATCGGTGGGACTTTGCAAACAGACAGCAGGAAAAACTAATACCAGGCAGCAGATCAGTTCTTGCTTTTCCATTTCTCCTGAAAATGCGTCTCTGAAAAGCAGCCCACTGCTTCAAGTATGTTGTGGACGGGAGGAAAAGATAAACAGATGGAACGTGTAGTCACTTTCCCTGCAATCAACACACATGTGTCGTACTCCTCCGTAACCCCTGGGAATATGAGATTCTAGGTGTCCCACGCGAGACGGAGAAGGAAGGGGTCAGTCATTGAGACACTGACTTAGGCAGGGGACTTCTTCAAACATGTCTGGCTTGTTGATGACAACAGGAATAAATGTCCAGTGGGATGGAAAACTGTCGGTCACATCGGCGAAGCAGACAGCCCATTTCTGCGGTCTTAGTTTTGCAGCTCGGGAGTAGAGCCATCTAGCGGACGAAAAAACACTCCCGCATTTTTCAAGCGCCATATTCACCGATTTAATATATTACACTTTATTTAAATGTATTACTAAAGTTCAATGTATGTCTTTAGCATCATCAAAGCATTTTACAGAATCAGGGAGGATGACCACACAGTAAGGGGGGCGTGGGGGGGTATGACTCCCAAAGCAGCTCTTCCAGAAACGATGGTGGCCCAGGAGAAGACCCAGGACTCACGTGGAGGGATTTCATCTCCCAGCTGCAAAGGGAACATCTAAAGGTCTCTCATAATGAGGTGGAGTATGGACATGGAATGTAAATCTGTACAGACCTGGTCAAAATGTTGCCACCGCAACTCTCAGCTGAGGAGGTAGTCGACAAGTGAGAAGTATTATAATGCTGCCGATTTCGCTCAGTATTCGCTATGGCACACTGCGGTATGACCGGCTGTTGTAACAGCGAGCTCTTCACAGTGTACATTTTGACTGTTGAATAAAGCTTTGTACACCTCTGTAGCAGGTTAGAGAGAGCCATCTATTGGGCGAAACAAAACATTGCAAATGGCGAAATCAAAAAAAGCTATTCGCATGTGCGACGTCACGAAAACCTAAAACGAGAAATGTGCATAACCCTTACCCAGCCCTAATCCAAACCATGAGTAACAAAAACAAAATACAACACTCTTGGCCTTTTCAGTTTTATTGCATTTACAGATTTTTATAATAGTCTCCCCATGTTTTTACCGAGATTTCCCCCACATCATCAAATCAGGTCTATAATCAATGTGGCGACGTCTTATGCCCAAAGTTTGCACAGGTTAGTGTTTGTGTATTTATATTTAAATTCCAGGGAACAGCGTCAATGCCACTGTCAGATACCCCACCTAAATTAGTCAATCATTTGTAACTAACCAGTTTAACATCAGTTTTACAGACCAGGAAAACTCCTAAAGCCCTGCCCATTTGTTAGACTGCTGCAACCAATGATTTCACCTTGATGGCTCACAGCGTAAAGTTTGTCAGATTTCAAAAGACACCAGGTAGCCGGGTGGTTAGAAATAAAAGAAAAAAAAATGTCTGTTTACATCTAGCAAAAACCTTTTGCAGTAGTGACTGTAGTTTATTATGATGGTTGGACGTAAACGCACTTTAGAGTCCGAGTGGGTCTGAATCCGATACCAGGAAGTAGAGTGGATAGGTGGAGCTGTGCGACACCTTGGATGGGGCACCAGTCTACCTGACTCACTCTCACACACTTATTTGTCAGTCTTCTTGTGCTTGTGCTGCGTTTCTTCTGCTACTTGACTGAAGAGGAGTGTGCAGGAACATACTTGTACTTCTGTGCCTGTACAAATGGCAAAGTCAATGCTTCCTTCAACCAATAAGAAGTGTTCAAAATTCCAACACAACTCATCAAAATCTGTGTCAGTGTCCCCTCCCCCCCTCTACATTTACAAAGAACCTGGGGCGGTACCGAATCGCTTTGGCATTTTATTTTGAGGGGGGGGGAGATCCCCCAATGAATGTCTAAAAATAAACCTGCTCACTACTACATTTCATATGTTAAATAAATCTTTTTTCCCCCCAGTATCTATCTAGGCACCAATGGTGAAAAACTTCACACTTGAGGTCTTGTACTGTTCCTTGGCATTTCTCCCTCTACAGTTTAAATTAAAAAAAATAATAATAAAAAAGAAAAACAATATACGGCTAATAATGCAAATCACAATTATTCAACTTGAAAAACTTCCAACCCATCTATGGAAAAAAGGAAAAAGTAAAGACCTCACACTGTAGAACATATAAATTAATATTTATAATCAACTGTCAAAAATGCTCTAAAATTAAAAATGTGGTGCCAAGCAAAAACATCTTAAGCATTAAGATTCATACGTTTTGACATAATAGAACACCACAAAAATGTAGCATGCTACTACTTTTGGAAATCCCCGTAAGACCATCCGACAAATGTGCAACATCACTCAGGAAATATGTGCCTTCTTCCATCTCAGGAACAGCACAGAAAAGGAACAATGGCAGTTACAACCACAACTTCCGAGATAGGGCAAGATGAAGAATTAGGCAGCAGAAGCAAAGAGAACACAATAATGAAGTGATAGGAAGGGGGTGTATGTGCAGATTCCCTGACAATATCAAAAATCCATATTTTTATCCCAAAGTTCATTTTGGTGAGTATTTTGATATATCCAATTAGATATTAGAGCAAGCAGTTTAGTGTCCATTATTTGCAGGCAACATATCACATTCCATCAAAAGAAACTTAACACATCAAACCAAAATTTGTAAGTAAAAAGAAAAAAAAAAAACATGCAGAGATCCAATCTACAAAAAACCATGACTACGTGGATTTTACGGCATTCAACCAATGAAGACTAGCCAACAACTGAAAATTTACCATCAGCCAATCTGATTTTTTTACAATTTCCAGCCAATGTCAGACACAGGAAGACTTTGTTTGCCTCCTTAATATCCCCTTACAATAAAGTATAACTATATACACTGCAGTACCAAAAGCAAAGGGGTATTGTTTGACCCAATATTTTCATTGAAAGAGGATATACACAGACCAGTAAGAGTGAGATGTACCAGGCAGTATATTCCAGTTGATACCACCAGCTGCCACATCACGCTGATATTATGAAAGCCATTTACTCGAGAACAGCACTTAAAAAAAAACTTGACCTTCTAAAAATCTACAAATGTAGACCTGAAAGTAACATTTAGCTGTTCATTACTTAGGAAAAATACCATGAAAAGCACCCATGCATACAATTTCATTAGGTGTTGGCATATAGTGATGAATAAATGTCAAAAAAAAAAAACTACAGATAATCCCATAAATCTGATGCTGGCTGTCAGTATGGCTGCACAGGTCTGCAAAGTGATGTTTGTTCACAACACATGATTGCAATATTCCTAAGTATATGAAGTGGGTTATACCCTAAACAGAACTTAAATAGGAAAAGCAAAAGTCAGCCCAAATGGACAAAACCACATTTAAAAGTGGTCAGTGTTACAGCACAGAACTGCAACAGATCACTATTAAAATTCCAGTACTGATGAAATAAAAAATGAAAAAAAACTTTCATTCATTCCAAAGTCACCCTATTCTCCAGTACATTTATGGCCAACATACACATTTTGCACAAGCCATTAAATTACACAGAGGCAGTCCATGAACACCACATTACAAATGTTACAGCAGAAACCGGCAAAGTGCGTTATGCCAGTCTGGTACATTTATATAGCAAAATGACAGACCGAGTCAAGTTTTTTTCCTCCCCAATCCATCTTTATTCAACAGATTGCATTACAGTCAAAGCACATGAGGAGAACACAGGGAGAAGAAAAAGAAAAAAAAGTCTGCAGTATTTAACATAGGATTTTTCGACGATATTTTTCCACCCGCACAATCAATGGCAGCACCACTGTTCTTTGGATCTGAATACACTAGCTTCGCTCATACTTTGTTTCTAGCAGGTCAGTTCCCATAACCCTCAACAGGCCGGGACAAGTGCAATACCTTACCAGTAAACAGCATTGCTACTCATCCCAACCTGTCCAGAAAGGGACCACGATACAATGTCACTCACAAGAAACGTGATGCAATTCACAGCTATGATCAGTTTTGCATGGATTTGCACAGCAATAGAGGACAAGCTGAATGCAAACCAGCAAAACTAACCAGGGAACAGTGCAGTGAAGGTGAACAGCTTCAGAGCGTCCACTTGGCGCCTTCATCCAGAAGTACTTCAAGTGCTCACATTGCAGTAGATCACCAAGAGACTACCTGCACTATAAGCACTTTAATACTGCTGAAAGAGTTCCTGGAAGGACAACTACCAGGGTAGTCGTGCTTTCTCACACTCACTCACACACACACACACACACACTCTTCTCAGCTATGCAGGAGCACACTAAGGAACAATAGAGAAGACAAGCAGGCCACCATCAGTTTTGCATAGATTTGCACAACTCAAATTCTCTTGTAGTGCAACTATGCAAAACTAACAGAGAACTGCAAAATAATAAAAAAAAAGCAAGCAAGCAAGCAGTCCAATTACACACAGGGTGCAAGTCAGCCCCTTATGCCAGAAGGAGCACTTAGGGCAGTAGGTGCTAGTCTACTTCACTATCTGCACTAGATGCACCTTAGCACAAGCAGTAGTTTGGTCTGGCGCACTCAGTGTCACTCTTTGTCAAAGCAGTGCTAGAAGTGCCTCCACTGCAGTAGATGTCTCATACCACTACCTGCACTGTAAGCACTTTGACACTGCAGTGACACGATTGTCACAGAAGATTCATTTTCATTTAAATAATCGAGCAGGAAAATCACGTGCCAACAACACTTCAGCGCGAGAAGCATGTTAATTTTTTTTATAACGGAAACGGAGGACTAAATCACCCCCCCGCCTAAAAAAAATATTAAAATATATATATATAGACCACATTGTAGTTATTCGCAACTTTGAGAAGTCGATCCGCAATCATTTGGAACAAGTCTTCCGCAGTCCAAAGTACTACTTACCACATTTAACAAGGGACCTAAAAGGGAAAAAGAAAAATTGTCAATAAAACCAGTTATCAGAAACTTGTGGGAGGTGCAGTCCTCCGCGTGGTACAGCCCCTAAATGTTGAGACCGAGTGGCGCATTTAACAAATTAATTTTGTTTAAAAATGCACCGGTGTGACGGTAGCATGGGACCTCATGGCACCGCATGCTCCTTCCTCATATTAAGCCTTTCACGACTCGCTGGTGTTTGGGGGGCGGCTTCAAGATGCCAGGTCGCAATTTTTACAAATACTAGGTAATTTAATTTTACCGGGCTTTGGAAACATAACACGAAGTCGTGACTCGCCGCGAAGCTCACGGTTTTAAACTACGAGCCAAGCACGCGGCCGCGCGAGAGAAAAGCGCATGCGCGGTGCTCCCACGGCAACCCCCCCCCCCCCCACTTCCTTCACCCCCGCGAAGCACACCAACATGGCGCCGCTGAATCCGAATCACTCTAGCGCTTTGTGATAACACAAGAAACAAAAAAAAAAAAACTGGACAGAGTACGTGAGGGAAGGCAAGGTCAGCGCATGTTTACGGGCTCCTTCAACATAAGCGTTTGAAAGCCGGGCTAAGTGGCGCTGAAACCGCCCGAAGCGTAACCCCACCACCCCCCAGCAAGCCAGCGAGCGCTGTGCTAGTTAGCCATTTCCCTGGTTAGCTGCTCTCCAAGTCCCACAAAACATGCACCGTTCGTCCGTCGGGGGCCAAAAACAGGGCCGCTCTCCTCTCGCAACCACCGGCACCCCCCTTTTCCCTGAGCCGTACACGCACCAATACGGCATTTTAAGTCCGACCGCCGCGGAAGCATAACAAGTAGCTAGAAATGGAAGTAGCAGAGAGCCGCCAGCCGCGCGCCGGCCTCGGTCTCCCCGCACTTAGTTTTAAAACAAAAATCGGAGCATTAGAGCAGCCGACGCCGCCCCCGGTGCGAGAGCGAAAGCCGATTGTGTACTTTCAGGCTTCTCGGCTAAGTTTTCCCCGCTTGTGGAAGTGCAGCAGGCCGGCTTGGCCGCCTTAATCCGCGGCCTGCTCCTGCCCCATGTGCCGCCGCTGCTTTGTTCTGGAGGTGCTTTAACTTGCGGCCAATTGAACCGAGAACCTACAACTAACTTTTCCCGCTCGGACTTCAAAATAATAATACACGCATGGTCAATAATAAAAATAAAAGAATAAAAACTCTCTCCGCGACTGCACTAATGCGACAAAAGGAGTTAGAGACCCGGGGAGAAGAGGCGGATAGCAGCCCGGCCACTCGCCCGCACACGCGAACGCCCTCATCTCTTCTTTCCTCCCTAATCCTAGCCTTCATTCCCGGGCACCCTCCGCGAAGCTCGGGGCGACCACTGCGGAGAAACAAGCCGCGAGTAATTTGTCCCCCCCCAAAAAAAAAAAAATCTCCCTCATCATCCCAAGATCAGCGGAGGAGGGTGAGGGCTGCCATGCGCCCCTCTCAGCACGCCGCTCATATCGGCCAGCCCCATCATTTTCCCGGGATTTTAAACCTGGGATCACAAAAAAAATTAAAAATTACAAAACCTCACATTTGAAGAGGGGGGAAAAAAACAGTCCCCGTACGCTACAAGTAAAGCCAACAACAGGTTACCGATAACATAGGCGCAGTGAAGCACTCACCAGTGCAAATCCACCATCTTCACTCACTTAGCCGCACACGCTCGTACACACAGCTCCTCGCCGTTTACTGTCAGCGCTCCGGGGCAAATACGTGCAAAAACTGCACCGCAAAAACTTTCAAACCCGAGCGATCGCCACACCGAGTCACAACTCTCACGTCGGTAATCGAGTGCATTAATCCCCCCGCTAGACTTTTAGAAGAAGAAGGTTTGGGGGAAAAATTACCAAAGTGGCGCCAACGTGCCCTCCATTTAACCATGTGGGTGAATGAAGGGCGGCTCCCGCTGAACGTAAATATCTACAACCCAAGTCCTTCATTAGCATAAATAAACCACTTCCGATCCATACAGTCCGCCAATCCGAACGAGACGCAACGTAGCAGCGCGACCATGCTGGTGTTTACGGGCTCGGAACCTTAGTGTAAGTCGAAATCGCTTGTAAATGTTTTCCACTTCAAACTTGGAGTAATTCGACTTCATGAAGTTGCCATACATTTAAACTGAAATTAGTAAAAGATAAATTTAAATCACTTACCTTTGCACAGGCTCTCGAGAGACTGGATCTGTCTCTATCATACAGTTATCGCTAGCCTATAAAATTAACAAAAATGCGTTAATATCAAGACAACTTACTTTCAAATGTATTTATGTACTACTACTACTGCTATTTGTGTTTTCCATTGTGCTTTGGGTGGGGATGCTGTAAAGCGCTTTGGGACAATGTAATGTTGTGATAATGCGCTATACAAAAATAAATTTGTTTGTTGTTTGTTGTCCATGTAGTGTTATTTTCCCAGTGCAGGGTATGGTCATATCATTACCAGTCTTTGTCGCTGTCCTGTGCATGACATACTGGTAAATTGCACTAAACGCATTTTCCGCCAAACTGGTTTTGTGGCAATAAATGTTTCTATTCTATTCTATTCTAAAGGTGAACTGGTATTTTGATTAAAATGTTAAAAGTTCATTAAGTCATCGACATAAAATCCTTGGATTTATAAATATAAAAGCAGTCTAACTCAGTTTAACAACAACAACAACAACAACAACAACAATAATAATAATAAATAATTTGTATACCACTTTGTTAGGATTTGTGTCACAATCATTTACAATTGTATTCATTTTTCTTTCTGATTTTCATGTATATATTCTACAAAACATTAATATATTTCAAATAATATGCTTTAATTAATTGATATGCATAAATATTAGATTTGGATTATTTGTCATGCATATTTAATAGTATTAGTCCAGTGAACCACTTCTTTCATAAATAACGAAATTATACTTATTGTTGCATTTTAATCATAGTGAATAAAGTGGAATCAAGTTTTCAAGACTCATTTAATTGTTAGGGACAAACTGCAATACTGTGCAGGATGTGATAAAAATGCTTCATTACATCTTGCCAGTTTGCAGTTAAATCTCAGTCACTTTCTGTAACATAAATAACCAGTTACTGTATTGCTCACAGTAGTGTATTTAGATTTAGTTTGCACTATTTTTTTACTAATAATAAATGATTTGAGCAGTATAGTTATCAGCATTAAAAAGCATATTGCATTCTGCAATACATTTTGTTTGAAAGAAATATGTATAACACTGGAAGTCAAAGTATGTTTGGTAGAAGTGTATGTCTTTTGCTTTATATGCGAGTCCTTGCTGTCACGTATTTCCCAAACACAGATGGGGCCAGGGGTCCCTCATTCTCTTAAGAAAACCTGCAACTGGCTTGCTGTTTGAGTCAAGGTCAGCCCTCCCCACATGAAGAGGAATGACCTTATTCCTTGCTGGACACCAGCACAGAGGGCTGTGGATTCTCAAAGCTGAACAATTTGGTTTGAATGTAAAGTCAGTTTCTCTGTCATGCTTTCCAGTCCTGTGATTGTTTTGTTTTGGTCCTTTTGAAAACTTACTACATTATAATCACCTTTCATAATGGCTCCAAACTGTAAACTTTTCTATATACTTCCAACAAAATAATTGTGGTGCAGGATAATATTTGTAGCATGCTAAATAAAATACATACAGTATCGTACAAAAGTCTTAGGCAGTCAAAGGAAATGTTTAAAGCTATTTTTCCATGTAGTGAGTGTAGATTGGCTCTGAACAAAAACCACAATTTAACGTTAGAAGATATGCAATTTAAGAGTAACGCTATAAAAACTAACAAGAATATCTTCCGTTCTTTAGAACGTTATTGATATGTTGTTGGATGTCTATAAGATCACGGCTTCGGTTTTAACCCTATTCTCAGGGAGACCCCAGCCATTACATTAAATTTCACCACCAGTTCACTTACTTAATTAATTAGTTAAAAAAGTCCATGAGATATTGATTAACCATACAAGGTGCACTAGTGGTTGAGTCAAAAAACAACATGGGTGAATTGGAAGGCTGCAGCGCATATTGGGGTGACTTTAGGAGAGGTTTTAAAATGACTACACTAACACATTTTGACACATAATATGCCTAATCCTTTTGCCCAGTACAATAAGGCTATTTATCTGGGTAGTAAATGTATACTCAGAGTGTTCACATTGACATTGATAATATTATATTAGGACTCCCTTTATTGACCTTCTCCTCATGATGCAACAAAATGTGTAAATTCAGAAAATGAGGAAAACAACTGTGTTCATTAAAAAATTCATAGTTTATACCAATATGAAGGTCATTTAAACATCATTTTCGTTCACTGTACTATATATTCTCAAAAAGGACCTGAAATTAACTGAAAATTGTTTCAAAGCCTCTTCTAAAGCCACCCCAGCATTTGCAGCAACCATCCAATACAACCTTGTATTTGTTGACTTGACCACTAAGTACCATGTCAGCTAATCAATAGTTATTTAACTAATTAAATTAGGTAAACCATTTAGTTGATATCAATATCTTGTTGGAGAGCAGAAGACATGTTTGTTAGTTTTTACCGTGTTACTGTTAATCTTCATATGTTTTAATATTATTCTCTATCTTTCTGGGCAAACTCTCTGTATATACATTAACTACTCAGAGAAATAGCCTTAAACATTTTCTTTGACCGACTAATATTTTGCACTGTATATAAGCACTTGTAGTCTCAAAACACAACACATTTCCATTGTTTCTGTCCAGTTTCCTGATTTTTTTTGGGGACAGCCTTGGTGAGGAATGATGGAGAAACTGTCACAGATACCATACATTTCATCAAGGTGGGTTTACATAAGCCAGTTCAGTAAAGTCAGCCTTAAAATGTATTGAAAAATAAATACAACTTTATATGCTTATGTTCCATATTCCTGTGTATAAGTACAGTAAGTTACTCCGATTGAAAAAGTGCCTTATTACACTACTTCCACTGATTAAATTTAGTAATTAGGAAAATTATGTTTGGAAACAGAGAGTGGGAGGACTTTACTGTGCTCTTCCAACCACTCTTTGGTTTGACCAAAATTCTATCGGAGACACTTGTTTCTCTCATCAGTATTAATTAACGTGTGTATGTGTGTGGATTAGGTTTATATTTCATTGTTAAGACCAAATTCAATCAACAATGGTCCCTATAATGTCAAAATAACAAAAAAGTTTTTATCACATTGTGGGGAAATCTGGTCCCCAAAATGTAACAATTATACAACACACACACACACACACAATACCAGACTATAACAGATAGTTCATTAGAAAATGTTGAATTATTTTGATGTCTAGCACTGATTTGTAATGTTTTCCTGGATTTGTAGAGTGTTGTTTTTCTTCTAACATCTGTTTCCTTAGATGCCCACGATTTAAAAGACTGTCGGTGAGATATAACAGGCAGGTGGGTTTGCTGCCACGTGACAAGCTCATTTACATACTAATTACAGGTAAATAAAAGAAGTCAATAAATCCCCGGCCATTTAAAGCATCTGCCTCATATCAAGGATGTAAATCCATTGTTGCATGGAAATGTATAACATAATACATATAATAACAGTGTCCTATTTATTACGTACAATGAAATCTAAATTGTCTTTTTTAAGTAGTAATTCTGTTGAAATGGTTATGGTGATGAAAATAATAATAATAATCATCTTATGTACTCAGAACATTTTTCCATAAAGAACACATCTAAAGAGACTGGCTGTACAATTGAAATTAATGTCCCATCTATAGTGCCACCTTGTGGTTATTGGCAAAATTTCTTTCTCTTTTATCAGAACAGGCGGACTATGTATCATTTATATTCAATTCAATTCAGTTCTATTCAATTCAGTTCAAGGGTGTATTATCATATGCACAGTAATTAGTCAGTTGCATTATACAATGACCTCTTGCTCTGCGTATTGTTCCGTAAAAATAAAATAGAAATAATAAAGAGTGCAATTAAGCAGTAAATCAGTAAGACAACAAATGCATGTGCAGTTATGACAACAAATAAGTAAACACAGTGTAATGTAATATACAATTCAGAGTAAACATGTAATACAAATATTTTAAGTATTGCAAATGACTGGATAAGTAGGACAGAGATGCAGTATGGGGCCACAGGTCTGATGGCTTGTGGGTAGAAAGTGTTCTGTCATCTTGTGGTCCTTCATTTCATGCTCTTGTAGTGTCTCCCTGATGGTAGAAGCGTAAATACTCTCTGCTGGAGATGGCTACTGTCCTTTATCATGCTGTGGGAACTCCTGATAACCCTGCTTTAATGATTGTTCTCCAGCGATGGTAAAGCTGTTCCTGAGATGTTTGAGCTGTTATGACCTCTAGCTGTAGCGGCAATACCCAAACCAGACTATGATGGCGCTGTTGGCCCCAGTGAGAATGATTTTGGTAGTACCCCTATAAACATTTTTAAGGTTTCTGGCTGGCGTGCACACAGCACACATCCCAGGGAGGTTCCACTGTTTTGGGGCCGCACATTGGAGGTGCAGTCGCCAATTCGGACCGAATGAGGTCTTCCTGTTGGAATGTGCAGGGGGTGGGTGACAGACCATGGGTAAGGAGTTCCTTGGATGGAGTTACCTGCTGAGCTGTAATCGATGAATAACATTCAAATATAACTGTTCTTGCTGTTCAGGTATGACAGAATTGGGTGTATGGCAGAAATGGTGACTCGATTTCCATAAAATGAATTCCTACTCTACTAGCAACTC